TGCGGTGAAGGTGAGGTGGCGGTTCGGCCCAGCTCCTGTGGAGGGGTGGGCGGTGCCGGTCGAGGACGGGGTGCGGGTGGCCTGTGGTAAAGGATGTGTCCCCTGCGGTGCCAGCCTTATGGATTGGTTTGGGGTTTTTTTTCTTCCTATATGACCATCTTTTGCTTTTCGTTTATAGCTTGAGATGTTTCAGCCCGCAACAGTTTGCTCACACTAGCTCGGGGCTGCGTTTGTAGCTTGCTAAGTGGCTCACTTGGTATGACTGACCTCTTTCATGAGCATCAGCCGCGAGGGGAAACTCCACCGGCCAACACTGCTCTGGCAGGGTCTTGCTGGCCGCTTCCTTTTCCTGCGGGGGTGTTTTTGCTGATTGTGCCTCTTGACCAGTTGGCTTGTCTTGTGGCAGTGTATTGAATAAAATGGGTAGGAGCGAGTGGTGGTCAGGCAGGATGCTGAGGAGTTAAAATGTTATGTTTGTAGCAATTATTTATTTATTTTAATATTTTATTTATAAATATAAAATTATTTATTTACTTTTAAAAGATCGATAGTATGATCATTAATTATGTGTATAAACCAAAATTACTGACTCAGCTCATGTGCTGTGATTGCATGAACATCTGTAAAATAAACTGTCGTATAGCTTACTGTGTGTAGTTTTAATTTTAATTAGTTCAAAACCAACCTTTTCAACTTACAGGTTCTTGAGTGTGGGGTCTGTGAAGATGTATTTTCTTTACAAGGGGACAAAGTTCCCCGGCTGCTTTTGTGCGGCCATACTGTCTGCCATGACTGTCTTACCCGACTTCCCCTTCATGGGAGAGCAGTTCGTTGTCCTTTTGATCGACAAGTTACTGAACTAGGTAAGAAAATAGAAGTTTGACATTCTTGAAACCTGTCAGTCAAGGATATCTAGAACATAATGCTAGACATAGATTCTTAATGCTCCACTTAGTGATAATATTTCCAGGTAATGAATATGCAGAAAGTAAAGATTTGCCTCTTGAACCTGGGCTTGCAAGCTTTATACCTGGACATCTTCTTGTACACCTCTATTTACAAAGGGACTACTCTGTTTAATGTTTCTGTGTAAGGGTTCCTGAATTAATATTAGTTTCCTATTGTCCTAAATGCCAAACCCATGCAATTGAATAGGTAACTTTTTTGACAGATTTGTCTGAATTCATGATGAAGTGATTTAGAGGGAAGGGTCAGTGATAACAAACATGATTTTTACAATGTTGGTGACTTCTATGCATGCAATAATTGGTAGTGGCAGGCTATTAACAGGAATTCCTTAGCTCTAAGAATATCTTCACATGGGATTTGAAAGGATAAGATAAAGGGTTTTTTTACATTGAAAGTTTATTTTAGGCAAAAGATAACACATGCATATAATTTCTTCAGAATAAGAATTACCAAATCAACATATGATTATAGAAGTCAAGTTATCAGAGGAAGCTGTAACAAAAAGAACTTTGTAATAGAACTGGCTCCAGCAGTTTTGAATAGCACTGGAGGAAAAAGAAACCTGTTGAAAGGAGAATCTTCAGAAAACGACATCTCTAATCTGGTAAACCATGAAAGAAATGTTTAAGTATCAAATTCACTTGATTTAGCAGTATGAGAATCTGCTAAGAATATTGAAGCACTCCACAGGATGTTTTTGTGAAGATAGAAATCAGGAAAAGAAATATAAGTCTCATATGAAAGAGGGGTTTGTTTTCTGGGCAGAGGGAGATGGTAAAATACGGGAATCATGAATAATTGCCAGTCTAGTGGAGTGGTTGGAAGAGTAATGGTTTGTTTGACTTCTTATCTATGACTGTACAGCTGCCCAAGATTTCTTAAACTATGGTTTTAGAGGGAGAATGTTAGAGTACGACACTCAGTCCTGTTGTCCACTTTTGTCCAAGATCACTGCTTTTTTTGTTGTGATGGGGAGCTTGTTTCTTAGTTTTTCTTATGCATTTTTTCCCCAGCCATGGGAAGGGATCCTATCATATTATTTTGGTTTGGTGAAAATGGAGCTTTACAAAAGTGTTTACAGATTTTTTTTTTCTTTCCCTGAGGAGCTTTTGATGAAATGCAGTGAATTGTTATTAAATCAAAGTCTCCTACAGTTAGGAAAAAGGATGAAAAGTTTCAGAGTTCTTTTATCTCAAGAATAATGGAGTTGCATCCTGCTGTCTAACACTAGAAAGAAGAAGGATGCACTGTAATCAACAGTTGTTCACAAAAGCAGTGGGTAGAAAATCTTAGCAAAACAGCTTGAAAATAAAAATACTTCTGAGAATAAAAATTCTGCCTGGTGATCTGAGGCAGGGGGAGGTCATAGGCACTTTTAGTCTTTCCATTTCCAAAAGCCTGGAGATATATTACTGGTTCTAGGATATAAAACCAGAATGTTTTGTGGAATGCAGCTCCATATGCAGCGTCATAACGCCTCTTTGAGACAACTGTACTTTTGCTACCTTGCTCTAATCACCTTGTAGTTGCTGCTATTGGTTAAATTTGCTGCACTTGTAGTTCTGTCTTGTTCTAGAGCTTAGGAGCGGCAAAGGACAACCCAGGGCCCAGGGGAATTTTTCATACTTCCCTCCCCTCTGTTTGAGGATATGAGGAAGTGAGCTCCATGTTCACCCTATTGCTGTTCTACCATTTAATGAATTTAATGAAATAATGTTCTCTGGTTTCAGAGAGCTGTTTATTATCTAAATCTTGATGATAGGACCATTGCTAAGAGAAAATTCTATTGAAAGAAAAGCTGTACAATTAGAATGCAAAGCTACCTGTGCCGAACAGTTTCATAATCAGTATCTGTGGATTTTAAGGAGACTTTTAGTTGGTCTAAAGTAACCTGTGGTTACATTTTTTTCCTTTGCTCTTATTACTAAAGCACTTAATACTATATTCATCAAAGTTTTCCTAAATAATCGTGGGAACTTTTTGAAATGCTGGGGTATCTGTGTATGGGTATATGTAGCTATATTTTTTTTGGAACTGGACTCTTGGTTTAAATGTACAGGGCTGTCTCATCTTCCTATGTATAGCTGTTTGTGCAGGCAAAGTTAGAAGTGCTTTGTGAATCAGGATTTTTGGAAACACATGTTCTGCAACTGAAAATTGAAATGTTGTTTACATGCTTAATGAAATTTTCTAATAGTTCATAGAATCAAGAGAAAACATTTTGTAATGAACAAATTGGACTAAAGCTTGCCCAAACCATTCTGCATTTCAGAATAGCAAAACACTGATTTTTGTTAGGTTTTTAATGAGTTCTTAAATGCATTATTTAATTAAGTTGCCTGTGATTAATCTTATAGTGGAAAATTTTAAATGAATGTGTACATGCTGAAGGTATGTGAACTGTTGCCTTCAGTTGAACTAAGATTTTTTTAACCAAAAAGGTGCAATGGGAAAGTTGGTTTGCTTTTCAAAATTTTGAAATTATATATGCTGGAGATTGTTGATTCAGACAGTTTATATGGGGGAAAATCCAATAAATCATGTCTGTAGAAAAAGAGGTTCCTCTCAAAGATTTTCCTTAAAATATGTTGATTTGGGAGAAAAGGCAAATAATTTCTTGCAAACTGTTTTCTCTCTTCTTGTGTTGAGTTACTGGTTATTTTTGTCTTTTTTTTTTTTTTTTTTCCCCTCTGTTGGGTTCGGGGATTTTTTAAATTAATATGAAGACCAGAATGTTTTTAGGAAAAATATATTTATGTTACAGCTTTAGAGTTTATCTACCATTACTGCAGAGCTGAAATTATTTTCTATCATTAGAACTTGTTCGCAGAAATATGCAGGTGATGGCATCCTTCATGGAATCCATCTGATTTGTGTTGCTTACATTTACGCATGCCTTTGCTAGTGTTTGAGTGCCAAGCTGAAACTTAAAAATACTGTGTAAGAAAAACAGTCAGACAGAAGTTGTTCCTTTATCCCTTTCATTAATTGTAACACTTTTTCAGTCAAGCTTCATGCTTTTGAAATTGACATTTGTACTGTTAGCTGGAGTCAGTCTTAATATCTTCGCTCTGTCACTATCTCATTCCTGCCTGACATTTCCTGCTATTTGTGTCTTATTGTTCTTTTGAGATGATAGTTGGAATGTGTAATGATTTTTGTAGTGGGCACAAAAATTCTTTGTACTCACAAAGATGAGATCACTAAAGTCTTACATTTGTGATCAAAGCAGAATTTGAGGTAAAGTCCAAGAGAATAAATGGATGTATTTACACAACTCATCTTTAAATGATTTTAAATATAAAATAACTCTTGGTCAGTTGTGTTGAAAATGTGTATGTTAAGTACCTAAAAATTTTATGGTTAGATTGAGAGTAAAAAGAGCAAAGTCCCTTTTTCAAATATGTAAACTTTATTATAGATACCAGTGAAATGAGACACGACTTTTTTTATGAGAAAGTGTGTTTATGACAAGGTAGTCCACCTAGCTGATGAGGGTTGATGTGATCTTTTTGGATTTCAGTAAAGATTCGGTACTGTCTCTCACAGTGTCCCACTGGACAAAATGTGCAGCACTCAGCTGGATAAACACATAATTTGATGGGAGAGCAGCTGGCTCATGGGTGAGCCACAGGGGATTACAGTGAATGGGGTGACATCAGAGTGGGGACCTGTCGCTAGGGTGGTTCCTCAGGGCTCCACCTTAGGCTCTGTGCTCTTCAATATCTTCATAAATGCCTCAGGAGCAGGGCTGGGAGGGATACAAAGCTCACAGATGATACAAAACTAGAAGGAGCTGTTGACTCCCTCCAGGCCAGGAGGCCCTGCC